TAATCCCACATGTCATCTTTGCCGCGTATTGATATGATTCTCGACTTTTTTTATGACAAAAAAAAGCTGTGGCAGATTCTAGAACTTATTGAATGTGTGATGAGAACAACGTTAGGTCATGCGCTCATGTAAGTTTACATATTTTAATGAATCTTGTCCATACAAATAACCTAAAATGGCAATTGAATATGCAATATCTTGGTTCAGAGAATTACCAAAACTAACATATTTTCAAATTATTCCATTCATAAAAAAAAATGGAAGGAAGATTTATTAAGAGAATAGTATTATCAATATTGAGTATGAACTAAAAGTGAATAAAAAATTCCTACAAGACAAGAAACGACAAAGAATAAGTTTTCAGGGTAATACATCCCTAAATCATAAGAGAAAAGATTGTATGTAGCAGCAATAGATCATCCAATTTCATTGTTGGACACAGAAGTTGTTTAAACCACTTCTACTATGCGCAACTTTTCCATTGGTGAATCACAAATTTTGTTAAGGATATTAAAAAGAGGGATTTACATGCAAACCACACAATTCTAATTTATTTACATATCTAACACCGAAACTTTCATATTCACTTTTATAACACTCTGGTATCTAAAATCTATACATGAAGATGTGTATTTCACTTTTATAAAGTAGTCATACTGGTATTTTTTATGGTATTTTTGATGTGATATTAAAGATTTGAATGTTACCGACATAATATGAAAGTTTAGGTGTTAGAAATGTAATGGTATGTATGTAAATGCCCACAAAAAAGAACACTCAGAGGCCAAAACAAACCGTTATAACTTCTTCTGACCCCATATCATCGCCACCATAGACAAAAAGTTGTCCGCTTTTGTCATTATTCGATTTAGCATCAGCAGACCAGTGCAAAACAATGACAGGGAGCCTGCGATCTCCAGAAGCAAGCTGCAATTTAACGACATTCTTAGAAGGTACACCACTTTCTTTCCCTTTGACCGAGGAACTTACAGAAAGATCCCATAACAATATATCCCCGTCAATATAACCGACAGCAAGAATGGGATCCGAGTTAGAGACCCAGCAAATGGAGCAAATCTCTTTCTCCTCCGGTTCGTCAGCTATGGTGTTAGATAGGTCATTGGAAGCTTTGGAGAAAGGATCGCCCTCTTTCTTAACCTTCAGCTGCAAATCCCTAGAACTTCTCATAGTAATGGCGCAGTTTTCACAAATGTCCCAGAGTATAATTAGTCCGTTCTCATATGCAATAAGTACCCTGAAAATTTTAAAAAGTTATATTTAAATTAATTCAGTGAATTACTCGCTTGCTCCCACAATATATAAATATATGAGAAAAAAATATAAAGATCTGCTACAGAATCACAGTAAGCCAACAATATTGCCCATCTTTAGTGGTCAAAGAATGGATGAACAGATTTCCAAAAAGTAAATTACTGAAAGTAAGAACATTTTATTTCAGCTGAACAAGACTAATTTGCATCTGGTTGCAGCAAGTTAGCATGTAATAAAAAACAGAAGGAAGATGCTGAAGATGGGAACAATTCGGTTTTCTGTGGTGACATGCTAGGACAAATGTCAAATTAGTATTTTTACATGACAAGACGTCAACTCAGCAGGACTACCCCCAGCATAAGAATGTTAAAATAACACAGTAATTTACATACATACCACACAATTCTTATGTATTTACATATCTAACATCCAAAGTTTGAATTTACACTTATAACACCTTGATGTCTTAAACCTATGCATGAGCAGGTGTATTTCACTTTATAAAAGGTAGTGATGGTGGTATTTTTGATGTGGTGTTAAAGATTTGACTGATACGCATGTAAATATGAATGTTTAGGTGTTAGATACGTAAATAAATAAAAATTGTGTGGTATGTATGTAAATGCCCCAATAGGATAAGGTAAAAAGCATTTTATTCCAAAAACTTATTAGGTAAAAAAGCATTTTATTCCCAAAACTTTTCGCTCGTGGAAGTTTAAACTTTCAAGCATCCAAACTAACCATCTTAGGCCCCATTATTTTCTTAAAACCTGCAAATGTGATGAAAATTGATGCACTCTAGGTATTGTGTGTTGCCTTAACACTAGAGGAAAAATAATCTCAAGCTTAATTAACCATGAATTTTTAAGCTTTATAGGATCCTTGTTCAAATACGAGGGGTATAAAATAGATATGTTAAAAAAGAACCAAAATGCAAAGCATACACAAACTAAGAGAGAAAAAACCAAAATAGTTCCCAACTAGTCGTATGCCGCCAAATTAGTCACAAAATATCACATTTCTCCAAGTTAACATCACCACCACACAAATATAATCCTAAATGATCCCTCAAATAAAAATTAATGAAAATTACGATACAAAATTGATCCCAATATTATCTCTCAACTATACAAAAAAGGTCTCCAACTAATCCCTGTGGAACCATTTGTAATCAATTTTGTATGGTCAAGTGAATAAACTGGAGAAATGAGATACTTTGGGACTAAATAGACCATTCGTGAATAATCAGGAATTATTTTGGGATTTTCAACATTAAATAAGGACAAAATGAAGAATTCAAATAATTGGGCAACGGCATCATAATTGCAAAGGATTGAAGCTCCTGTAGTACAAAAGGTGAGAACTAAAATGGTGGTTTTTAGAATATAAGATTAAAAAGACACAAATATAACAAGTTAGAAAGTAAACTTCTTTTTACCCAATGAAGTAATTCAGACACAGGAGGAAAAAAAAAAAACCTAATTTGCACTTTGCACACATTGCATGGTAAAGATAGAAATAAAAAAGAAGTTTACAAACACATCTTCCAATTATTTGCAAGGCATTATTTGTAGATACTCTTTTAACCATGCTCAAACTTTGAAGCTAAAATCAATGTTAAAGTTAGCTAAAAAAATTTTCAATGGGCATATCATATAGCTACTTCAAATTTGAGATTTCTTGCTCAATCCTTGCACGGATAAATATGCAACAAATGTCTTCAAAAAATGATGTTAAATAATGTTGACTAATTTTTTTCCAATTTAAAATTTCAATACAAACCTAAAACAATGACCGTTTTACATGCTTGGCTTACAGTTAAAAACTAATAAGAAAAAAAAAATCAAGAATATAGATATCTTGGTCTTCATAATTTTTTCTGTCCTAATTCCTGTAATCTTATTTTGCCAACATTATTCGTAGCAGCTCCCTACTGTGACAATTAAAATAGCTTGTCTACATCTAGTTATTCATTATTTTATACTTAAATTTTAAGGCATCTGCACACATAGCACACAATTCTTATGTAGTTACATATCTCATGCCTGAACTTTCATATTTATCCGCAAAGCATTCAATTCTTTAATATCACATCAAAAATAGCACTATTAACACTTTTTAAAAGCTAATTGCACCTTTTCAAGCATAGGTTTAAAGTACCAAATTGTATGTATATAAATATGAAACTTTAGGTGTAAGATATGTAAATACATAAGAATTGTGTGTTATGAATGAGAATTTCCCTAAATTCTATCATCTAAAAGTCATTTAAGCATAGTTATAGCAACCCCTTCCCCTACGAGATGTCAAAACTAAACTAACCTTTCAGCTTCTTCATTTTTTCACTGGAGGGTAGGCTTTAAGCTTCTTTACGAAAGTGAAAGTAAAATACCATGCAGTGTTTAATGATGGAAAGTTAGAAAGGCAAGCTAGTAATAAAAACAAAAATTGGATAATTTTCCGTTTATCAAGTAGTATATAATACAGCAAATTAACCATCTATTGCACGATTTAACCGGCTTTTTTAGCCTCACAATAGTCCCAAAATCGACCATAACACATCTGAATACAGCATGAGTAATATAAAGAAATTACCAAAATGCATATCCACCCAGGGAACCTGCTAATAAATTTAAAGTTGAAGAAATATATGCAAGCAAAATTACATAAATGACTCTCAAAAGAAATACCTGGTGCCAGAGATACCAGGTTGTGGCAAAATTCCCACTATCTGTTGTTGGTCAGGGATTGAAACACCAAGTGATTCTGTGAAAATAGCTACAATTAGGTTGAAAATACATGATGTTGCTTCTCATAAAAATTAGGGGGTGCCATTTAGTGTAAATCAAAGTTTAAGAGCGTGGATTGAATTAGGGGGTGGTGCCATTTAGAGGTAGATCAAAAAAGTTCGTTATACCTAAAAACTGAACTAACTGAAAAAATCACTTGATTTGGTCCGGTTTGGTCTGGGCTTAGAATTTTAGATAAATTGATTATATCCAGTTTGGTTTTGATTAATGTTTTTGTCAAACCAAAATAAATACCAAAATGGATTAGTACATAATTAATAGATTATTAAAGAAAATATGGTAATTACCTCTCATTTAAAATATAAATGTTATCTTTGTCTTACTATTTGTGCTTCTCCCGGTAGGTGTTGATTTAGGAATAGTAACCACATGTTGTCAAAGCTGAAAATCAAAATAGAACCAAACAAAAATGTTTGGTTCAATTCAGTTTAGTTTCATATTAATGATTTGATTTTGGCTTTTAGATTTTAATTAGTTTGCTTTGGTTCAATTCTAAGCATATTATAGTTGGAACCAAATAGATTTGTGCCCACCATTAGTTGTATCCATCATAGTAAACATGCATAAAGCACAAATTGTAGCCATTTTAAGTAAAGAGTTTGAATGTACCTGAAAGGGGCTTTAGTGGAATATTATACGGCATGCTCAACAGCTTTTCATTTTCTGAATCATACTTCAGCACGGAAAGTAGCCCATTCTCATCCCCAACATACCTGCAAAATACAGGACTTCTACAGCTAGTTAAAAATATATTGCTAACCAAACTTTCTAACAAGAATGAAGTGATTAAAATAGAGTAAAAGTGTCAAAATAGTCCCCTAACTATTTATACAGGGCCATTTTGGTTTTATAGCTTATGTAAGTACCCAATTAGTCTCCAAATTTTTTAAATTGGTACTCTATAGTCCTCCATGGGGACTATTTCATCCCCAAGTTAAAATGCCTTCGGGCTAATTTTGCACTTCTATAAACTATGGGGCTAAAATGACTCCATGTAAATAGTTAGGGACTAATTTGGTACTTTAATCTAAAATATGTCCAACGCACATCAAATAAGTTCCACTAATAACAGCAAAGGCAGTAATGTTGGCTTCCCACTGTACCGAATAAGATAATTTCCTACATTGGAGATCCCAAACCTGCTCAAGTCAATAAAACCTCTAATAAATTTCAGAATAATATGACAAAAAAGCAAAATTTACCAAGAACAAAAAGCTTCCGCAAGTAAAATGTTGGCAAGAGCTAAAAGAAATAAATAAATATGGGACATTCATGCAAAAATCATTAGTTGCACACAGAGATCTTAGTAACATAATAACAAAAGAATTCTTTTGATTTGAAGAAAGACGAAAAGACAAGTCAGATAAGTACTTAATAGATATGTTGGAACACAATTAATTAACGCTAGTAAACTACAATTAAGGTCATGTACAAAAATTCATGAGCAAAAAAAAAATGTAGAAAATAAAATGATAATCCTCTTGGCAACATTTTTACCACGATAGAGAATGTAGGAAATCATGAACATAAAGAGATAATCATGATGATGACAGTGATGATGATGAATGTTAAAAAACTCATCCGAAATATAATGTCTTGAATAATTAAAAATAATTCAAGCTTCTACAAGACATATAATGAATGGAATAATCACATTTAATTTCCAAGATTCACGCAGTTTCAAAAAAGATTATGGCACCAGATTAGTTCAATAAACCTCAAAGGTGAAAGCATAAAGTACAAATATGGCTACACAACATCTGTATACCACATTCTAAACCAAATATGCAGCTTTGTTCCAGTAAATATATTATTAAAGAAGCTTTTACTTACATACCATCTAATTCCTATGTATTTACATATCGTACGCCAAATCTTTATTTTTTATATCTATATCACTCAAATCTTTCATATCACATAAAAAAAAACTACCATTTTAAATTTAAAAAAGAAATACACTTTTTATGCATAGGTTAGATGGCATGTATGTAAAATTTGAAGTTTAAATGTTAAATATGTACATAAATATGAATTAGGTGGATCTATGTAAATCTTCAAATATCAAGCTAGTTATTTCATGTACCAATCTAGACAATGACCTAATCATCAGAGCTTCTGAAATCTAAGAATCAGCAACAAATAATTGAACAGTATTTTCAAATACAGAAAAGTAGATAGACTGCAAGAAAATTGAAATAATAAAAATACCTGAATGTCATTCTCATTTGAAACACCAATAATAAACCCTTTATTGTCGAGGAACTGAAACAAGGAGACAACAATAAAAGATTGATGAAATGGTAGAGGACAAATTCAAATAAAAATTAAATACAAGAATCATGCACTATGAAAACACATTAATAAGCTTCTTGGAGGTTAAGAAAGGTATGAGCGGCTTGATGATTGAAAAACAAGCAACACAGAAGTCTCCTCAGTTAGCGTGTAATATTATTAAACACGCATTATGGCAATTACTCAACTAGTCCCACATGTGTAAGGACATAAAAAGCCTGCGTTTTTTTATTTAATTCCATTAGTTCCACACTAACTTTTTTATTAAAATAATCTAAATCAACATAAGAAGGTTGAGTGATGCCAAGTTACTAGGAAAGGGTTTTTTTTTTTTGTCAAAATGGAAGAATAGATTTAATTTAATATATTTAAACTATATGTTGGGGAATATTTGAATGTCTGACAATACTTTTTCATCTGAGAAGAATATTTAAATAAAGTATGGCATTATTTTTTCCATCAAATATGAAAAAACAAAGAAATGTTTTAGTTCAATTTGAGAAGTCAAAGAATCAAATTTGAGGAGTCAAGGGAGTAAATTGAACACATGAGATAATCTAAAACTAAAACGGCACCAAATAAATAGCCCAGTGACCATTTTGACATTTTTCACTTTTCCACCTTTAATACATCAAAAAGAAATTTGATGAATACAAACCTATAAAAATTCAAAAATTTAATTTTTACTAGCTTTCTGATATCAAATATGCTATCAAATCTTCAAGGGATCATATTCTAAAAAAAAGGTTGAAACGTAAAAACAGCCTAAAAGACTCCTATGTTTTATTATTAAACAGGTGCAGCTACTTCGTTAAACTTTATTTAAATTTGTAATCAAGAGATTTTAAAATTATTGGTCTAATTTTAGGTAAGATTTCAAACTTTACTTTTAATTTCAACCAAAAAATATCACACATAATGATTTCCTTCACCAACATTTTACAAAATCAACAATATACTTAAAAGTTATCAAGTTCTTACTTCGCATAAGCATACGAACAAAAATACATAAAAAAAAACTTAAAATGTTCACATACACAAGCACTCTTAGATAATAATATACATACATATGCATCATCATACAAGGAGTTATTGATAATTAAAGCAAATGTATTTAAGGAAATTAGTATATCTTAAAATGCATGTTGCCTAAATAAAACAAAATTTTAAAATACATTATATCTTAATGTAGGGTTGGAAGAATTTTTTGCTTAGAAATGTAAGAAATTTGATTGTAGCATAAAACATGAAACTCAAAGTTGGTAGGCTTTATAACAAAAAATGACATCAGTTTGTTTCCTAAACTTCCAATATTCTTTAAAAAAAAGTAACATTATCAACTTTTGTAGCCAAAGACTTTTGAGTTTACTCAAAACCAGTATTTGCATGAAGTTCACAAATTATTCTCCTCACGCCCTCAACCATTTCATCATCAGAAATAAAATACATATAAAACTTCATAAAGCGGGGGTGGTGGGGGGTTTTATGCCAGCAGTAAGCCATACCACGAGAAGAACTACTTTATAAGAATGTGGTTTGGAGTTAAAAAGAACCATTTCTGTAAATCGATTACTAGATTCCTCTCAATTTCAAAAATTATCCTTTCATTGGCATCAATATCCAACAAAGAATTAACGACTCATTAAAGCCTCTTAACATAATCAAAACAAGAAGTTAAACATATAAATAACCAAATAGTTTTGAATCAACAATCAAAATAATTCTGTGAAATTCAAACCTCTAAATACTTGTAGGGAATTTTCTTCAGTGATATAAGAAGGCCTTCGATATTATCACCACCAATTATCTTTATTCTGCCATCCCTGGAAATAGGCATCCAACAGAGATTGTTATGCCAGCAGTAAGCCATACCACAAGGAGAACTAGTTTCAGTTTTGGGGCATTTACATACATGGCACACAATTCTAATGTATTTACATATCTCACATATAAACTTTCATATTTACACACATAGCACTCAAATATTTAATATCACATAAAAAATACCACTATTACAATCTTTTAAAAGTGCAATGCATATTTTATGCATAAGTTTAAAGCACCATGCTATGTATGTAAATATGAAATATAGGTATGAGATACGCAAATACATGAGAATCGTGTGCTACGTTCCCCTCATTGATTTCCTCACATGCTTGTACATGCCTCAGATGGAGCTAACTTTATGAAAATCTATTTTGCTTGTAACATAATATTATAATCCTTGAAGGCCCTTATCTGATTAAGCATTGTTGATTATTTCTCTTAAGCAATTACCTTAGAAAGAAATGAAAAGCAATTACATCACACAGCAAGCATTTTGTCAAGACACCAATAAATATTAAGGGGCATTTACATACATATCAATCAATTCCTATGTATTTACATATCTAACACCTAAATTTATAAACCTCCCTCCCTCCCTCCCATTCAATCAAGAAGGCCTATGGCAAAATTATTAAGCCAGTCCTACTAAATTATCATTTTTATGCATGTCAGCCCTTATTTCAGACATTTAACCTATCCCCTTAACAGAATCATATTTAGTAGAGGCTTGTATATATTGCACTGGGCATGGATCAAATAGTGCAAATCAAATAAATCCAAATCAACTCCAATTACACTGGACAAATAGTAGAAATAGCAAGGTTTTGCATAAGAGGTCCAATTGTACTCCCCATTTTTATCATTTATTTACTTTTTGGGGAATTTACATACATACCACCCAAATCCTATGTATTTGGGTATCTAACACCTAAACTTTACCTTTTACATTTATACCGCCAAATCTTTCATATCACAAGAAAAATACAAGCACTTAACTTGTAAAAAGTAAAACGCACTTTTTCATGCATAGGTAAGGTGGCATGGATGTAAAAATTGGAATTTAGATGGTAGATATGCAAATACATGGAATTGAATGGTATGTATGTAAATCTTTCTTACTTTTTTGTTGTTTTGTATGCTGTAAGGACTTTTATGGAACTGTAATAAAAATTCTAAGCAACTGATTGGTCGATGATATTTTTGTACTACTTTAACTTCTAATCCCAGCTCATTGATAATTTGCATAGCCAAACAAACTAGTAAGACACTAAAACTCCAGTTATAGGCTTGGAAGAAATGACTTCAAAACAGTAAAATTGCAAAAGGGCACCTTAAAATCTTTAAAATTTGACGATTTGCAGAGCAATCAATATGGTACTTCTTTTCAAGTGAAAATAGGCAAATCATCTTCTGACTTACAGTGTTCCTATTGCCAAGAGTCGCTGAACGGCGTCAAAAGCAAGAATAGATGCAGTATATGGAATACCATAATGCATGGCAACTTGAAAATCTTGGCTGCTTGGTGCCATATTTCCATGTTGCAAAATCTGTTGAAAAATAACATCAAGTGAATATCGTCAATATAGAAAACAAAAAAAATAGTATTAGATCATCATAAATACCACTCAATTCCTATGTAACATAACTAACACCAAAACTTCAATTTTTACATACATGCCACCTTAACCATGCATGGAAAAATGCATTTCACTTTTTAAAAGTTAAAATGGTAGTATTTTTTATGTGATATAAAAGATTTTTTGTCGTATTAATGTAAAAAATAAAGTTTAGGTGTTAGATGTGTAAATAAATAAGAATTGGGTCATGTGTATGTAAATGCCCTGTTATTATTATAAGTCTGAAAGAGAAGCTACAAATCAGATTGTTAAATATAAACTCCAAAAATATTAAAAAGAAAGGCACCATATCAAGCATAAAAAAGAGGAGCCAAAACTGAAACTTGGACACAGGGCATCTCATTAGTTTAAGAAAATAGATAATTAGCTCGTTGATCAGCTGAGATAACGTACTATGCGCCTTTTTAATATCAAACATAAGAAATTGTGCTCTAGGTCAATCAACTGCTTGTTGTTGAATGTCAGATTAATCAAAAAGCCCACACAACACCTAACATATATCCTCTCATCACGAGGCAAAAGCCATTTTTCAATTTTTTAAGAACTGTTCGTCAAAATCCCATTGCTCCTCAGTCGAAGGATTAAGTTCCAATCACCTAATCATTCATGTAAATAAGATCACATGTCATTGGAACTATTTCCCACCAGATTTCTCAAGACACTATAGATTGTGTATATTCTAAAATGTAGCCGTCTTCGCTCAGCTCCGCATTAGAAACTGAGAACTCCATCACTATCCATAATCTCCAAAGTAGCTGCCAACAACACCGCGACTTTTCAAATCCAATTATCACAATCGAAACAAGGCAACATTGCCTCATCGCCGCAGAAACAATGAATCAATAACCAATACGGCAAAAGAAGAGATAACGCAACGGAGATATCGAGATCACGACAAGATCGTTCTACGATTCAGTACGAAGAAGGCGATCCATTTTAAAGATCAATAAATATACCTGCCCCTTGGCCTTCTCTAAAAGGTGCTTGACGAACATCACAAGTGCGAACTCTCTTCCCCCGATTTACGAAGCTCGCCTCCCGTTTCCAAGCAGCAGCGACGAGTAGAAGGGAGGCGAAGAAGAGAGATCGAGCAGAGGATCGATGACCACGGGAGCGATATCGATGAGTGCGAAATCGAGGCGTCCAGCCAGAGAAGCTGAACTTGAGTTTTACACAATTTTGATCCTAAAAAAAATATTAGATTAGGGTCATTTACATACATACCGCCTCATTTTTCTGTATTTACAAATCTAATAGCTAAATTTTATTTTTTTTGCATTCATCCCCTCAAATCTTTCATATCATTATCACTATGGGTCTATTTGTGGAAGTTAGAAGATCTAGGGTCTGTTTGGCGCAGCGTTTTCGCTGCTGCGCGGCATCCGAACGCGAAATTCGCTCGTTTGGGGCGACGTTGGAAGAGGCGCGACCCGCCATCTAG